TTCGAGGACTCATTTCACTCCCAAACCGGGACACACGAGACACAAACTCACCGGCAAGGTCGACCACGGCCTCGTGCGTGGACGCGGCGCCCTTCTCGAAGAAGAGCTCGTTGAAGTACTCGCTGCACGCCGCCAACACCGCCTTGTGCGCCCGATACTCCTCGCCCTCGATCAGCAGTGTGATGTCGCAGAACTGATTGTTGATGCGCTGATGGTTGAGTTTCTCCAGCACCGTCTGGCCGTGATTGGAAAGGAACTGGTTCACTTCACCTTTGCTGTTCACCTGGGGGGGAAGAGAAAGAAAACCCACACACGTATGAAAAGGGGAACTGTGTACCTGCGCAAAAAATAAAAGTCAAAGAACGCTGTGAGCTGTAACAAAGCTAACAATACTTACATAAACCAGCTCGTGCTTATCTGTCTTTGCCACCTTGGATCTGCTCCGACTAGACAGGTCTGTGAGGAAGAGACTATCCTCCGTTTCTTCTCCCACCTCCCCCTCTTCCTCCTCTTCATCATCCTCGTCGTCATCGTCATCGTCGCCCGTCTTGCGCTTCCTCGCCCGACTGTTTGCGCGCCCGCCTACCCCAGGGCTGTCATCCGCGCCACGGCGAGCGGTGCAGGTGGTGCACTCGCGGATGTGATCCTTCACTTGCTTCAGGATACCTAAGTTGGACGACGAAAAAGCAATTCACTCCCAATTTTTTCGTGACTGAAGTCGTCGCTCGGCAGATGTTTTGCCTTCGCTTGTGAGCAGTGACTTGGGGTGTGGGCACAAGTCACAAAATAGTCCATTTTCTTTCTGTTCACCTTTTTTAAGTACCAGATTGAGCTACTCGTTTCATTTTTTTTCTGGGGCCGTGCAAACCCTCGTTTTTGTGGAAAACTCTTAACCCCGTAATGTTCCTGTAATTTTTATTTTAAAAAAATTGGGGGCGGTTAACCTTTTTAAAAAAAAAAAAATCAAAGCATTTCATGACCACAGGGTGGCGCCAAACAATTTGTAAAAGTCACATTAGACGAGGGAAACGTTTGATACGAAATGCTAACACTCCCTGGCTCATTCTCCCTTTTTAACCCGACAACAAAGCTTCGTCCCCAGGCCGCCGCGAGCCTCGTCTCCCAGTCTTACCTCTCCACCAGTACTTCCGCGAGATGCTCTCCCAGGTCAGCTGCTGGTTGAGGTGCTCCCCTCCTTCGAGGACGTGCGTCTGCTCGATCAGTTCCTTCCTGCGCTCGTCCCGCAGAACCACCTCCAGCTCGGTGAACACGTCCTGGCCCTTGAGTCGCCGCTGGTAGTACAGGGTGCCGCCGCGGACCACGTAGCAGGCCGCCGCTTTGCGAATCTTGCGCTTGGTGTTGCCCGGCGTGCCCGGCGCGTACGGTTCCCGCTCGTCCGTCAGGTAGCGAAAGATAGCTAAGTAGCTTTCCTTGCACGACATGGTGCTGGACCCTGTCGCCCGCTACAACGCCAGGGCGTTTATCGCGAAAAGTCTGCCTTTCCTCGGAGGCGCGTTTGGGATGTTAATATATATTTTAGACGCAAGTATAAAGTTGAAAAAAAGGCATGGTGAGTATATTCGAGTGTTTTTGTTAAGGTGGAACGCCAGTTTTTCGAACGTCAGAGTAGACGTGCCCGAACAGACAAAATGGCTGCTGCACAACCGGATGTTACGTACTTATGGCGGAAGTGCCGCCCTTGAGGGGAGAAAAAACAACAACACAATGCGCCGCTAGAGAGCGCTGTCGTTAAACGTCTCACCAAATAGACACTTTCAGTGTTCATTCAAAAGTGTTATGATCTGACCACGATAGAAATATATGATTAATTTATGATTAAAATATAATATCTGATTTAAAATTAGTAATTTTTATTGCTTATAATATATGATAAATTACTTTTGTTTTAGGTCAGTGTTAAGTAATGAAAAAAGTATGTACAGTATGCCAAATAACGAAAACAAAACATAAAATTATATAGAAAGGGAACATATTGGTGAAAATGGCATAAACGTATTTCACTTCCAGCTATTAATAATGTATGTATTTTTACTTCAAATGGATCATTTCATTGTATTTCTAGAATATAGCGAGCAGTCAGAAAGGCACTCGTGCAGTCTTGAAAAGATCTCTTTATGATGAATATGCTGCCGCGTTACCAATTCACTCAGCTTTGTTTAGTCCAAAACGCGTCAGCACGAATGTATCGAATCGAGTCGGCGTGTTGACACAGATGACAAGTTGCCTGTGTGTCCACAGTAAACACACGCGATCAGGGCTCAGATTTACATAAACAAATAGAAATAATGACTCTGAGGAAGCACTTTGTGTCAGCTATCTGAGACCACAAAGTACGACGTTAAATATCAATAGCTATTGACAGTATTTGTCATCGATTTAATTTCATTAAGTGAAATATCTGCTATGATCATTGAAACCGTAACATGGAGTGGTTATATTAAGACAAACCTCAGGTCAATTCTGGACTAAATTGTCTTTGATGATTACTAAAAACACGTTGTTTAAGACTAAATTGTATACATTGTTGATAAAAACATTTTTGAATTATTCGTCAGATGTGTACAAAAGCACATACATTAGGTCCGTTATAAATTAACTTGTCTTTGATTTCTGCGAAAAACAATTAGGTTGCTTAAAGATGTTAATTGTCTACGTCCTTGGTCAAAACAAATTTGTCATAATTAGTCTTAGATGTGTGCAAAAACACATACAGGGCTGCATGTCAATTAGCGACTAATATGGCTCTGATGATTACACAAAACTCGTTAGGTTGGTGAAAGACTAAGTTGCTTTGGTTCTTGACAAAGACATGTTAGTCTTAGTTTTTTACAAAAACACATACTTTAGGTCCATTAAAAACTAAACTGGATGTTTACAAATACATTCGTTAATGACTAAAACAAGTACTCCGTATTTCGTCTTCGATGTGTCGAAAAATATGTAGAGTATGTCAAATTGTCAATGATAAAGACTAAATTGTCTTTGATGTCTATGTAAATGTTCACTAGGTACATTAAAGACTCTGAATTAGCTTTGACGGTCACAAAAACATGTCGACAAGGTTTGTTGAATTCATCTAAGACTTTAATCTGTCTCTGATATTT